ATATTATATATTTGATTTTTAATTTATTTAAATAATTTTCATATCATAAATGGCGAGTTGATAGAATGTATCATATACATTTATTTGGACATCGTTTAGTTAAATTATATAAGAAAAATATTTCGTGGTAAAACATCATAATAGTATTATAAAGACATCATTTTGTGATACTGGATACATCATTATAATTTGAATGTATACGATTTTGAAAATAATTATTTACAAATGTTTCTGTTTTGTTTAAGGAACTTAATTCCGAAATTATAGGAGGTAGTTACAATAATATTTTCTAATTGATTTTTTTTTAATTAGATATCTTAATTAATTTTTTGAATTACCAAAATACCCTTAATCAAACGTAGAGATTATCCAACAGATTAAAAACGTTCAGATTGCTCCTGAATTTTAATCAACATCAACAGGATACCAAAATTCATATAAATGATATATTTCATTTATTTTTTTTACCTATAGTAGAATATAAATAATTAAACATAATAACTTTTTTTTTTAGCATTTTTAGATAAAGGGCGTGTTTGGCAATTAGCTGATAGCGGTTAGCTGTTAGCTGATTCAATTAGCTGATAGTTGATAGCTGATTCAATTAGCTGGTTTGACTAGCTGATTCGATTAGCTGTTTGTATTAAAATGTTTGGTAAAACAATTGTTTGATATTAGCTGTTTATACGTAAAATGACAATTGAGGACATTTCTATTTTATTCTTATTTCTAATATATTCAATTATGTTCTTTTGAGTTTAGAATGTTTAAAATTTTTTGTTATTAGTTATTGAAAATTGTAAAAGTGTTATAAAAGTATTTATTTTTATTATAGTTAAATTTAAAAAATAATATATTTTTATTAAAATATATAAATAGTTTTTTTTTTATTGAAAATGATGTAAAATATAAAATAATAAATTTTTCGTGTATATATTATTATGTTAGTTATCGATTAGTTCATTATATCTATAATTTTTAATAAATTTAATTTATTTTATTTATTTTTAGTATAAAATTTATATAATGTAATTTTAATAAAAAATAAATTATTAATATTTATATTTTTTATGTTGATTATAATAAATTTATATATTTTACAATTAAAATAATTTTTATATAAAAATTAATTATTTTAAATTTATAAAAGTAAAACTATAATATAATAAAATATTTTAATATAATTAATAAATAATCAAAATATATTTATTTGTATAAAATGTATGATAAATTTTTAAGGGCATATAAGGAATAAAAAAAAATTACAGAAAAAACTATTTCAAAACGCTAGGTAAGTGAGTTTTTCAGAAATTAGCTTTTTGAGTCCAAAAAGCTACTCCAAAAAGCTAATTTATCAAACACCTAAATTAACTTTTTGACTGGTCAAACAGTTAAAAGTTGTTCAATAAGCTAAAAGCTCTTAAAAAAGCTATTTGTCAAACGCCTCCAAAATCTCAATAATAGTATTAATAGTAATTGTCTAAGAATTTTAAAACAAAAATTAGGAGCTGTAAATATATATAAATAATTATTTTTATATTTATAATAAAATATAAATAATTAAATAAAATAAATTTTCTAACATTTTTGTATACAAAATATAATAATACTATTAATATTAACTTTGTTTAATTCTTTTTAGTGCATAAAAAAAATATTTTTAAATTTTGAAGATACGATTTGAAGTCAAAACCTCAAAAATAATATATATAACACTTACCAACCAAACTATATTCATCAATTGTCTATATATTATCTATATATTATACTCCCTCCGTCCAGTTAGAAAGTATACATATTTCTATTTTAGGACGTTCAATTACAAAGTAAATATTTCATTAAATACCTCATTTTTTTTTCACAAATACCCTTACTTTACATTACATCATTACTTTTACACCAAAAAGCAGGGAAAAATGTTATTTTATTACTTTTAACTACCCACTATAATTAAAATACTACTCCCTCCGTCCCATAAAGAAGTATTCATTTGCTTTTTGCACGTAATTTTAGAAATATTAGTATTATATTGGAATATAGTAGAAATAAAATAGAAATGACTAAAATAACCTTATTAGTATGTGTGATGTGATATAAAAGTAATGACATTTGTATAATATATTGTAAGTTGTAAGAGTATTTGTAATGTTAGGTAAACAGTACAATTACTAAAAAAGAAAATAGATATTTTGTTATGGGACGGACTAAAATGAAAAAAATGTATATTTTGTTATGGGGCGGAGGGAGTATTATTTCTTAAACACCGCGCCAAAAGTAAATATTTACTTTGTGTGTGGACGGAGTGAGTATATTTGAGGTCGGTGTGGGTCTCATAGATCAAAATCTTTTTCTTATTTTTTTTGAATTTTTTAATAAAATAATTATATTTATGGATATAGTTAACAACTTACCATTAATATTATATAGTTATCATTGATATAATTAATGAAATTATAATTAATAGTAATATATATTATACTTTAATAGGCATAAATGTCTTATTTAATGATATTATTAGATAATGAATATATTTAGGCATAAATTTGACGATTGAATTTTGATGATGTTAAATGCATTTTTTTTTTCTATATTTAAATGGTACAATCCATTTATGTTATAAAATGAAGTTGATAGTAAAAATTTGTTTTGTAAAAGAAAAATTATTTGTCTCAATGTAAAATATTTGTTTATATGTTTGCATTTTGTCTCTATATTATGTATTTATAAAAATATGTTTGTTTGTGTCTCTATATTTGAATTTATTTTATTTTTTATTTTTTCACTAGCTAAGGTTGTATCTATTTATATATATCTTCTTCGTAATTACCATCTATGCATAAATGTATATAGATAAAGGAAAACATAATAGTCTTATTACAAGTATATATTTTCTTTATTTTTATTTTTATTTTTTATCGATATTATTCATTTTAATTTTGGATAAAATTATTTTAATTTTGTTATAGTATTTTATGATTTTAATAAATTAATTTTGAATTATAATTTTTATTTTTTTTTCCATCATCGCCAAATATCATCATCTCATCTATCTTCTTTATTTATTTTATTTATTTTTCTTTCCCTAATTTTTTTTTTTTCATTTGTAATTTACTTTGATTTGGATGAATATTTATTAGAATGTAATTATGAAACTTTTACCATTTTTATATTTAATTGTTAATATTTTAATTTATGATATTATTATTTTTTACATTAGACAACATCTATTGTTCAGACTATGGAAAAGAAATTCATATCAAATATATCAATTAATGGAAAAAAATATTAATAATAAATATACTAATTTTTTTTATATTTTTGAGCTTTTTTTTACGTTTCTTTAGTTTGTTGTTGTGTGTATATATATATATTTTATTAGTAGCACTTTTATACTTCGATTTGATGTTCATTAATATTATTTTTATTTTCTCTAAAGATATACTATTTATAGATTGCATTTTTTTTAAAATAATTTCGATTCATAAGAATATTCTTTAAATCCTTTATAATTGTAAATTACGATTTAATTTTGTCTATCATATTTTTATATAAATATTTTCTAACAATCATATAAATATAATTTATTTATACATAAATATATGAGAATGTTATGAGTTTCATAAATAATATATTTTAAGAAATTTTATTTATACTTTTTTTTTTATATAACTGTAAGTATTTTTTATTCTTATTCTTATTTATTTTAATTTTGTAGACATGATTTTTTAAATATACAAAAGTTATATATAAGGAATATATATTCATATTTTTTTCTTCAAAAAAAATTAAATTAATATACATATTTAACTAATCATATATTTTTATATTTTCAAATATTTATTTTATTATTTCTCAATATATATTATCATCTATTTAATATTGTTATTTTTATTTTATATAATTTATTCTATTATATTTATGTAGTGTTTATTATCAATATTATATTATATTTTAATTAAAAAATATATTGTATAAATCAAGTAATAAATTAAAATAATTTTTATCATATCAAATGAAATTTAAATATTTTTATTGTAAGTACTATTATAGATAAAGATTTTTTACTATGTTTTATATATTTTATGAATATTAAAATAAATTAATTTATTGAAAAAATAAATTCAATATCAACATCAATCCGTATAAATTTTACATAAATATTATATATTATAATTTACATTAACATATAAAATAATTTTACCTATCATATTTATTTTTATATATAATTTTTTAAGTATATTCGATGCAAAATTTGAATATAAAAGATAATAATAGGAGCATGTACTTAAAATAATTATACAAATAATTTTAAATTATTTTTTTTTTTATTGTGAATCATCTTATTAGAAAAATTTACAAGAATAGAAATATATGTTATATATATTACTCTATATTACTTTATATTTACTAATTTTCACGGTTTAAATTTATATGTCTCTTAAATAAATATAATAATAAAAAATAGTGTATTATTAACAACGAAGTATATTCAAATTTTTATTGAATATATTTATATATTTATACTTTAATTTTAAAAATTGTCATATGATAAAATTTATTAATTTACACAAACCATGCAACACAGTGAATACACTAGGGGTGTGTTTGTTTGAAGGATTTTGGAGGATTTCCACTATTCATCTAATTTTTTTCCCCCAAAAATATCAAATCAAACACCTATTTTTCATTTTTTATATTATACTAAAAATCAATTTTACATTCAAAACATCACATCAAACCCTATTTATATCACATCATACAACTATTCAAATTCAAAATTTTTACTATTCAAATCCCAATCCAAAATCCAAACCCCCAAACAAACACACCCTAGTTATATTAAAATCAAATTGTTTATATATATAAAGATTTTATATATTAAACATTTATGTTGTATTTTTTTTTTTTTTTTTGGATTTTAGCATATTTTTTTACTATTTAATTTTTATTTTTTTTCAAAAGCGATCTAAATTTTTATTTATTTATTAATCACAACTCAGAAAACAGTACCCAAACAAACACAACTCACTCGCGTTAACCCTACCTATTAAACCCTCTCTCTCGCCGGTGATTTTCAATTGTCGTCGACCCTACTGCCATTCCCATTCCGATGCTCTCTCTGGTGAGAAGAATTCAGGGGACCCACAGAATACTGCCGTTTTCCGCGCTTCAACTCCGGCATGCCCGAACAGACGGTGGCTCCGGTTCGTTGAAGCCCCGCGCGCCGCGTCGGTCGAAGTTCTCGCCGTCTGCGATGCTGAGGAAAACTGAAGAGAAGTCGGAGTGGTGGGTTGTGGACGGAGAAATGCACGAAATCGGAGACCACGTACCGCTGCGGGAGCGGTTTGTGATCCCCAGGGATAATGTTCCTAACAAACGCCGCAAGCAGCTTCGCGAGCAGTTCATGCGCCGGACTCGTCTTGTTCTCAAGGAATCGGTTAGTTTTGCTCTTCCTTCGCTCAATTAACCCTGCTGTAGCCTTAACTAGTATACGTTCGTTCTCTCTCGAGCATTCGGATTTTTGGTAATTTGAAGCCTTCTTGTGCCGATTTATTGTTAGACTCTCTTTTCGAATGCTCCATTACATATTCTCTTACGAGGAAAAAAAAAAAATTGCAACTAGATTGTGTTAATTATAATTTAGTCCATCTTCTTCAAAACATCCCTAAGTTCAGTTAAAATGTAACCATATCTGGTGGGAATACCTGTTGGTTGAACCTGACAATTTTCTATATTCCGCATTTGGAAGGAGCATGAACCTTGGTGCAAGAGGTACATGGAGCTGTATAATGAGCTTAGAGAAAATTGGGAGAGGTTGTACTGGGACGAAGGGTATTCGAAAAGGCTTGGTCTAGATCATGCAAATTATGATTCTCCAGAGGAGGAGGATGAAGATTTTAATCCTTACAGGTTAACAATTTGAGGTGTTTTTTTTTAAAATGTCTTTTATGTTGTCTCCACCCACCATTGTTGAGTACTGCACTGCATTCATCAAGGAGAGGATTGACTTACCTTTGTCTTCTGTTCATCTTTGGGGAATTTGAGTTGCTGAGGCAATGATTGGATGATGCTATTCTTGTAATGGAAAAAATTTCAGATTGTTCAACTAATGATAGATCTCTCTCTCTCCCTCTCTCCCTCTCTGCAGGACGCCGCAACCTCGAGCTGAGCAAACTAAGGTACTTGTCTTTACCCACACATGAACAAGTACATGTATTTTCCATTTTGTATGTGAATTAATCTAGGTAAGGTAATGCATTATTGTTAATCTAGTTGTAAAACTTGATTGGGTGACAATGTCAAATTGCTGTTTCGAGATGTTCCTGTTCTTGCTAAATACTCTTTATGTCACATTGTCCGGATACGGAGATTAAGAAATAATAATATTTTAATGTCAAAGTGGGATAGATTAAAGTAAAATAGCGGTATTATGAAATTTTTTTAAAGAGTTAGTAGTGGGGTAATTAGAAAAAATAGTAGAAAATTGATTATTATTTGTTAAAGTGGCAATAATAAATTTATAGAAGGATAAAGTTGTTAACTCTAGATTATGCGTAAGTTTAGTGGACAACAAAAAATCAAAGGTCTCATAATTATTCCGGATGGAGGGAGTATCTTTTAAATATTTCTTTGGTTCTTCATATTGTCTCTCTTATCATTTTATTGTTGGCCATCACTCCCTCATGGATTAGGGCATCTGATACTGGGTTGTAAGTTTAAACAAGAATTTTGTTCATTATTTTGAGCCCAATAGTTGCTTGATTGATCACCATTGTCTATTTGGAATGCTAATAGTAGGGAAGAACCTCATAGACGCCTCTGTAAAAGGCTTAATTTGACTGACATTTTTTTTGTGACAGGATGACATTGTGGGAAGGAACAGGGAAAGTTGGGAAAAGGGCTTCCAAATTCGCGACAAGTTTGAATACGACAGAGAGAGAAGAATGAGAGAAAAAGGTTAGCTATTTATTTAACTCACACGATATGTGGATATACATCTTGTGGCATCTTATATTTGCTCAAGAACTTTGAAAAATCACAGGTTGTGTCTGATAGATTTGCAAGATGTAAAACATCAAATGCCTCGTTCTTTGGGTTTGGTTGGGAAAATTTGGTTTGATTTTGGTATTAATCTAATGTTTGCATGGAATATTTTGTGAGAGGAAAAAATATATATTTTTTTCAAAACACACGAGTTCAAATAGTGAAGTTTGAGAAACTTTAGATAAAGAAGCGCACCTTATGTAGAAACATGTGTTGTGGAATTTATATTTTTTATTGTATTGTATATATATGATTATTGCGCTTGAATCAACAATATACTGTGCTATATGGAACTATATCATGTGGTGTTAGAATATGTGTTGTATATTGTGTTATCATGTGCCATCCGCCTTACTAATTTGCGTTGATTGTATCAAATCAGCACTAGCTGATTTGACCCAATCACCGTGAAAACGAGACTGGAAATATAAATGTTGGATTTGATGCTTTTCATAGAAAATATCTTTTAAATGTGGAGCTTTTTAAATAGAAAATAAGCGGTAGATACTTTTTATCATGTGCTATCCACCTTACTAATTTGTGTTGATTGTATCCAATAAGCACTATGCTAATTTGATCCGATCAGTATGAAAAGTAGAGCAGGTTGGATTTGATGTTTTGCATAGAAAATATATTTTAAATGTGGAGCTTTAAATAGAAAATAAGTGCTAGATTTTTTTATTATTTTTTTTTAAGTCGATAATATAGTTTAATTTTATAGTAGATTTCATAATGTAAAACCAAGATGAAAGACACAAACGACGTTTTCCCTCACCTCACTTGATTGATATTCATAATTTTGAATCTGCAGCCTTTGCGCCGATGAATGGTGGAAATGAGTTTGAGATGGATCGCCCTGTCTCTAAGCACGACCCCTTGGACATCACCCGGTACATATCTGAGTCGGATGAGTGACACTAAAGAACCTTAATTGGAAAATTCTTGTCATAACGTTTTAAGCTTTTACATAAATGATGAAATCTATTCGATTGAGACAAGGGTTAGCAACTCCTTTGCTCCGTACCTCGGATGCCATTCTCATGGCATCGAGCAGAACCCGACCTGCAGTTCTGTTCTAATGGTTCTTGGCTGTACAAGTAGAGAAATTTTATTTTATGTTTACACAGATTTTTAAAATATTCTTATTAGAATGAATAGCAAAATAGATGTAACATTCAGTGATAGTATTTGTTGCAACAACAAAGGCTACAATAAAAATAGAGGATCATTTTGCACATTTGGATAATTCGGGGGTATTTTAGCAATTTTGGGACTTCCAGATGATTGTGGATTCCACACCACCGACCTCTTATAATAATAATAATAATAATACTACACTTTCGGTAGCGGGTGGGAAAATATTATAATTTTTAATTTTTAATAAATATACTTATTGATTATAACTATATCAATTAATATAATTATTTAATATCAATTACATTGAAAAATTAGTAAATTTCATTATCCATTAATTATGGGTACAAATGAAAATTAAGAAAATATTATATTAATAATTATGAGACTTATTGACATTTTTATATATATTAGGGTTACAAATTATAATTACATAGTTTTAATTTTATTGATTATATAATTGTTTTAATTATAAAAATAATAAACATTTCAAATTATTACATTTTCACTATCCTTAATTAGGGATATAAATGGACATAAAATTATATTATAATTTATTTTAATTATAAAATTAAATAAATTATTTTATTATCTTTACAATGTTTAATTATAATATACTTAATAGCATTTAATACATGCTTATTTTATTTAGAAAATCAAAAAAATAATAGAAAATATGGAAAATTGTAAAAAATATCCAACATGTATACCCATTATCACTTTTGTCCTCTATTTATCTAGCTGGCAAAATATATCTCACATGTTTGCAAAAGTAGCTATTTCTATCCTTTGACCGCGCGTGGACGCGCGTAAGGGCGCGTGGTGTGAGTGTCACGCGCGAGCAATGGACATAAGTATCGACTTTTGTAAATATATGAGATATATTTTGCCAGCGAGATAAATAGGACAAAAGTGATAATGGGGTATAAGTGTTGGATATTTTTTGCAATTATCTCATAGAAATGCGATGAAAAGATAGAGATATTTTTTTATCTATAGATATAAATTAAATTTTATAATTTATTATAATATTTCATTTAATAAGATTATAAATAAATATTTTTAATTTAACTTAATTTTGAATTTAAAGTGGTATATCAATTTTATTTGATTTATGATTAATTTACTTAATATTATTTATTTGTTTGTTTTTGTTTTCGTTACTATATATTATTTATTATATTGTCTGAACATTGTTTCAATGCAGACTAACAAAATACTAATAATTTTTCATTTTTACCTATGAATTTTTTAAAATTTATTTTTATTTTTAATTTAAAAGTGATTATAAATAATTATTTTTCATATTTATTATGTTTTAATTTAAATTAGAATATATATGTTATGAAACTTTGATTCGCTTACTTAATATTTTTTATTTGATGTAGTAGCCATATTTTTTATTTATTATTTGTAGTTTATATATATATATATCAATTTTGACTATTTTCATACAAATTTTATTGTTAAAAGTAAAATGTATTATTAAAAATATAAAATTAAATTAATTATCAAATTATATTATCACTCGTGCATAGCACAAATTATAAACTAGTATATATATACGATATTATTTGAATTCTATATTTCTATTTTTTTCTCACAGAATCTCATCATACATTATTTTATAAGTAAAACAAAAAATTTTCAAATCAAAATCAGAAGTTACACACCCAAAAGTATTATAGTAATTTTTTCTTTGTAATTTTTATATAATAATTAATATTCAAAATCAACGCATAAAAATTAAATGAAATGTTGTCTCGAATTTTTTGGGGGCCTGAGCGAAAATTAATTACAGGCCCTATAAACACATGATTAAAATAATTTTTTTATAATAATATCACTTATTGAGGTTGATTGGATAAGAGGTTGAATGCTACGGTCTGGGTAATATCGATTTGAGAAAAAAAAATGAAATACGGACTATCTAGGAGATTCTAAAAGAAAGGATTGAGTGATGGTGAAAGAGAGAAAAAAGAGAAAGTGGGACGGATTGTGTCTGAGTTGGTGAATATAGTAAGACATAGATTATGATATAATAATAATAATAATTTTTTTCTTTTTTTTAAAAAAAAACAAAAATTCAAAGTCTGTTATAAAATATATAACAAAATATGAATATATTATTATAATATATAGATATTGTAATATATGTATATATATGTAATAGAGTATATATATATATATATATTCTAGAGAGAGAGTAGAGAGACGATAGAGAGAGACGAGGATATGAAGAAATGCAAAGTCTTTTATTTACATTAGATACAAGACTTATTTCTAAGCCATTTTTCATTGCAATTAGTCATCAAATATAGACATGTGTTAAGATAATATGATGACACCTACCATAAATAAATAATGACTCATAACACTCCCCTTATGTGTCATTTAATTGCAATGAATACGCCTTGTTAAAACCTTACTATGAAAAAACCTAACGGGACAAAAATCCTAGTCAAGGAAAAAGAGTACGTCATTCATGCATTAAAAATACTTCCCCTGATGTGGACATCACTTGAAATATCGCCCCCTGATCTGGACATCATTTGAAATCTTGCAACCTATGCATCCCGATGATCTTTACTAATTTCTCGAACATTGCGGTCGGTAAAGCCTTGGTCAACAAGTCTGCTAAATTTTGGTCTGATCGAATCTGTTGCACATTTATTTCACCATTTTTCTGGAGATCATGAGTAAAGAAAGATTTCGGTGAAATATGTTTCGTTCTATCTCCCTTTATATATCCTTCTTTCAGTTGCGCTATACAAGTTGCATTATCTTCGTACAAAATAGTAGGAGGATTATCATGTTCAGATTTCAAACCACAATTCTGTAAAATGTGATGAATCATTGATCTTAGCCAAACACACTCTCTACTGGTTTCATGAATTGCTATTATTTCTGCATGATTTGAAGATGTGGCGATTAATGTTTGTTTAGTAGATCTCCAAGATACCACTGTACCGCCACAAGTAAACATATAGCCAGTCTGAGACTTGGCTTTATGCGGGTCAGAAAGATACTCAGCATCTGCATATCCAATCAATTCATGTCGAGATCCTTTTGGATATAATAGACCAAGATCAACAGATCTTTGGAGATAATGAAAAATATGTTTGATTCATTTCCAATGTCGTTGTATTGGCATTGCACTAAATTTGGCCAATAAATTTACAGCAAACGCTAGTACTGTTAGCCAGATACATTAGTGCACCAATAGCACTTAAATATGGTACTTCAGGACCAAGTGCTTCATCATTCTCCTCTTTTGGTCTAAAAGGATCTTTAATAGGATCAAAAGTTCTAACGACCATTGGAGTACTCAATAAACGTGTTTTATCCATTGCAAATCGTTTTAATACCTTCTAGGTATATGCAGATTGATGTATCAAAATCCCATTTTCCAAATGTTCAATTTGTAGACCAAGACATAACTTTGTTTTCCTAAAATCTTTAATTTCAAACACCCTTTTCAAATATTCAATAGCTTCTTGGACATCTTCAGGGATCCAATTAAATTCAAGTCATCCACATAGACAGCTATTATTACAAAATTTCTCCCATATTTCTTTATAAAAACACACGGAAAAATAGAATCATTGGCATATCCCTCTTTCAATAATGATTCACTGATATGATTATAACACATGTGACCAGATTGTTTGAGCCCATACAAAGACTTTTGTAACTTAATAGAATAACATTCTTTTGATTGTTTGAGCCCATACAAAGACTTTTGTAACTTAATAGAATAACATTCTTTTGGCTTTGATTTATATGCATCAAGCATACTAAATCCTTCAGGGATTTTCATGTAAATATCACTATCCAATGAGCCACATAAATATGCAGTTACAACGTCCATCAGACGCATATCCAAATTTTCATGTACTGCCAAACTGACAAGATATCGAAATGTTATTCCATCAATTACTGGAGAATATGTTTCATTAAAATCAACTCCAAGTCTTTGTAAAAAACCTTGGGCAACAAGTCTTACTTTATATCTGGCAATTTCATTATTCTCATTTCGCTTTCGAACAAATACTCATTTATAGCCAACAGGCTTAACACCTTCAGGTGTTTGAATAATTGGCCCAAAAACTTTTCGTTTTGCTAGTGAATTTAATTCAGTCTGGATCGCATCTTTCTATTTTGGCCAATCTATTATTTTCTGACATTCATCAACTGATCTAGGTTCTGGATCCTCGTCATTTTCCATTAGATCAAGTGCTACATTATATGCAAAAGCATTATCCATAATTGTATCATTTCGGTTCAAATGTTTTCCAGTAGTAACATAATTTATTGAATTTTCAATAATTTCATTCTCTTCAAAAGAAATTATATTATGATTAACATACTCATCAAGTTTATCAGAATCAATTTCTTTAGAAATCCGATCCATGTTACTACCTGTTTCTTGAGGGTTTTGATTAACGTTCAAATCATCAACCCTTTCATTTGTTCCTCTTTTCTTTCGAGGATTTTTATATTTGGAACCTACAGGTCTGCCACGCTTTAGCCGTGCATTTGATTCATTAGCACTTTGCATTTTGTCTTCAGGAATAACAATTTTAGCAGGTACATTTTCAACAGCTATATAAGATCTAGTGACCCTGCTGGCGTCACAAAAAGCATTAGGCAACTGATTTGCTATTCATTGCAAATGTAAAATTCTTTGTACCTCTAATTCACTTTGACTTGTTCGAGGATCAAGAAAACTGAATGGTATTTTCCAAGTAATTTACTTTTTCAGTTGATCAGTTTCTCCCCCTAATATCGGGAAATGTGAATCGTCAAAATGACAATAAGAAAAACGAGCCGTAAACGAATCCCCAGTTAACGGTTCAAGATATTTAATGATAGATGGTGATTCGTAGCCGGCATATATTCCCAATCTCCGTTGGAGGCCCATTTTTGTACGTTGGGACAGTGCAATTGGCACATAAACTGCGCACCCAAAAGTTCTCAAATGTGAAATATTGGGCTTTTCATTGTACAGTAATTGTATTGGGGAGTAGCTATGATAGTTTGTCGGTTTTAATTTTATCAGTGTTGCTGCATGCATAATTGCATATCCCCAAGCAGATATGGGAAGTTTGGATTTCATTAGCATAGGTCTTGCAATTAATTGCAGCCTTTTTATAAGTAATTCAGCAAGACCATTTTGAGTATATACATGAGGTACAAGATGTTCAATATCAATTCCAATAGACATGCAATAATCATCAAATGTTTTGGATGAAAATTCACCAGCATTATCAAGACGAATTTTCTTATTGGGTGATTTGGAAACTGAGCTCGTAATTTTTTAATTTGAGCAAGCAACCTCGCAAATGCCAAATTACGGGTGGATAATAAACACACATGCGACCATCTAGTAGATGCATCAATAAGTACCATAAAATATCGAAATGGTCCGCATGGTGGATCTACAGGTCCACATATATCACCCTAAATTCGTTCTAAAAATGAAGGGGATTCAGTTCCCACTTTTACTGGTGATGGTCTAGTTATTAACTTCCCTTTTGAGCAAGCAACACATATAAACTCATTTGTATTTAATATCCTTTGATCTTTCAAGTTATGGCCATTGATATTTTCAATTATTCGTCTCATCATAGTATTACCAGGATGCCCAAACCGGTCATACCAAATCATAAAATCTGTAGACTTCTGGTCTACCAGATATGTTCCAACCATATCAATCTTTGTGCAATATAATTCGGAAGACAATGAAGGCAATTTTTCTAATATATATTTATGTCCATCAATGAATTTTGTAATCAACAAAAATTCATTATTTGTTTAACTTGATGTCTCAATATGATATCCATTTATGCGAATGCCATTGAAACTCAACAAATTTCTTTGAGATTTACTATAATATAATGCATTTTGGATATCAAGTTTTACTCCTTCGGGGAGAAATATTATTGCTCTTCCAGAGCCCTCAATTAATTTCGCACAACCACTTATGATATTCACCTCAATTTTTCCCAACTTCAGGTTGGTGAAATATTTCTTATATTTCAAAATGGTGTGCGTTGATGCACTATCAATGAAACATGAATTGTCTTCCATATTATTCATTATAACGCGCTCAACATTTATATTTCTTCTTCTGAGAGAAATATAAGAATAAATATATCAAAAATTTGGAGAAAATACATAGCTGTCGTATCATTACAAAAAATACGGAGCAAAAACTACATGTGTTACAAAAATATATACACATATCTATATGCATTTATATCGCATTTCCGGGATTTTCATAGTATCCACCTTCAGGATGTACTAGAAAATCAGATACATCTAACTGCGTATTATCATTACATTTATCACCCCCACTTCCACTGACAACGTTCTCTGAAAAATTAATTTATGGGGGATTGATATTTTCCGATGTTTTAACTTCTTCAGGCACTTTGTCTTTCTGTTTCAGGAAATTTTGGTACAACTCAGCGAAATTAGAATTAGAACGACAATTTCTGAACCAATGCCCTGTCATTCCGCAACGATAACACTTATCCTCGTTTTTCTTTGAACTCTGACCAATATTATTCTGAGGCCGCTTCATAGGCTTATTTGATTCCTGCTCATCAAAATATCTCTGACGGTAATAATGCGAAACAAACCTGCCACGACCTCGTCCACGGTCGGCTCCACGTCCACGATTCATTCCACGTCCACGACTAAATCCACGTCCACGACTAAATCCACGTCCATGACTAAATCCACGTCCACTGCTTTGTCCGCGACCTTGTCCGCAGTAGAATCTAGGCATATTATTTAAACACTGAGTCGCATTCACTTCAGGGAATGAACTTGCACCAGTTGGCTTCGATTCGTGATTTTTTTAATAATAATTCGTTATTCAGAAATTCCGCAACCTTCTGAGTAATATAACAAAAACAACAAAAAAAATACGTTATCTTTATATGCACTTCCTCGGCAAAGTCTTGTACTGATAACGTGTTATAAAATATATAATGTTATAAAATATATAACAAAATATAAAAATACTACTATAATATATAGATATCGTAATATATGTATAGATATGTAATAAAATATATATATATATATTCTAGAGAGAGTTGAGAGACGATATAGAGAGATGAGGATACGAAGAAATGCAAAGTTTTTTATTTACATAAAATACAAGGCTTATTTATAAGGCATTTTTATTACAATTAATCATCAAATATAAACATTGTGGTAAAATAATACGGTGACACCTAGTATAAATAAATAATAAGTCGTAACAAAGTCCAAATACTAAAAAGTGTGAGGTTTGGGATTTGGGGTCAAATAAACAATTATTATTATTATTATCATCAAAGTGCCTCCAAACACGAGGTAAAATACAATCCCTGCCGAACCCCAAATTGGTATGATCTGAATTCAAACGTATAGTGTGTGACCAAAGAGAAATTCGAAAAATTCTCACTATCAAGAATTCGCCAAATACAATTGCCGGCGCCAATACATTCTTCACTTGCACTTCATCTCTCTCGTCGATTCGACCTAAATCGGGAGGCGTAGATCGCGCAGGATCTAAAGCAGCAGCGGTGCCTCCCCCGGCGGACGATGAGCGGAGCTCAGCTGTGCGGTTTGTTGGCGGAATTGGGCTATGAAGGTCACGGTTCCTTGGACCCGGACAGCTTCGAATGGCCGTTCCAGTACGAAGACGTTAGGCCGATACTCGACTGGCTGTGCTCCAGCCTCCGTCCCTCCAACGTCCTTTCTCCCTCCGACCTTTCTCAGTATGTGCTCTCTCTCATGTTGTTGGAGCATTATGCCTTGGGATTTGTTGGTTGACATATTTTATGCATTTTGAACAAAGGTGTTCTTCCATTTACGAATTATCGAGGGAAAAGTTTCATTCTCTTAATGTTTTGGCTTGTCTTGTCTTCTATTCATACATTTGTGTGACCTTAGGGCATGGAGTTAATCACGGAGAACTTGCTTGAATTGTAATGCCACATGTGCTGGTTATCGGCTGAAATTTGTTATAGCTAATGATCTAGTATGAATTTGGACACCTTTGTTCTTCCCTCTTTCAAGTTTTACACAGAACATACAATTTCAGTTTAGTTAACTTGAATTGGTGTTCTTTAATCATCTCTATTCAGGGAAATGATTGAGAGATGAACCTTGTGGTGTTTGAAGGATGTTTCTTTTTGTGTTTTGCCCATTGCACAAACAGTTAGTACTTAAGACTTGTCAATGTTTTGTCAAATTATGGTTACATTAATTTGCTGCTGTTTGTTTATAGGTATGAGCAGTTTTTAAAAGAAGGGAAGCTATTGGAGGTATGATAATCTGGTTATTGTTTATGATTACACAGTTTCATCCTCTATTATTAACGTCTTCGATGCATGTTTCATGGTTTTGATTTTTTCTAATTTTGGGTATGTTAAATACTGATCATTCTTCTCTTTCTTGACTGTTCAAAGAAACATTGATCAAAATATATAGAGTCTTTGTGTTTTGAGTTTTATGTTCCTTACGAATCATACATGGGATGGCATTATGAATTATGTAATATTATCATTAAACTGCCTTTATTCTGCTGACCATTTTATTTTTTCAATTTCAGTTTTCTTATTCTACAAGATTGATAATACTCTAGTGTTACATGTATGTTTATATGTTGTATTTTGATGCTATATGTTTCCCTAATTCATGTTGCCTTACTTTTCATCAGGGAGAGGATCTTGACTTTGCTTATGAAAGCATTTCAGCCTTTTCAGCCAGGAGGGACAACCAAGAGGCGGTTTTTGGAACTGAAGAAGGACTAAAAGAAATATGGTAATGACTGTAACTGAGTGAAGATTAATTACTTCTTATCAAAATGGAAAGTAGAAATTCTTTGTGGAATTCGCAATATGTTGACTCATAGTTGAGTATGCAAATATGCACAAAATCACCTGTAGGATTCTGAGATAGTTGATACTGACACGTCTAATCTTTTGCATGCACACTTTCTCTCTCTAATTTAAATAAAAGGGGGGGGGGGGGGGGTGTTTTCTTTCTTTTATACATCCTAAAATAGTATGTTGCATATTTAAAGGTTTTCGAATACTAATTTTTGAAATGTTTGTGAGCTTAGTGAAAAAGATCACCTTCAAGGATGAGATCAGAATGCTGTCACTAACAAAAACCCTTTTGTTACTTTTTCCTTGTTTTCGGATTATCAATGCATATCTTTTTTATGAGATTGATCTCCTTAAGATTACTAACAAGGATACAAGGATAAGTTGTAACAGTGTGTCTTTGGTGCTGTGTTTGTGTGGTCAGTGATGCAACATTAGCGGCAAAAGCCGAAGCATTGGAGTTGCAAAAACAGCTCAGGCATCTGCAATTCCAAAATGATATGCTTACAGGGCAGGCTTCAGCACTAATTCAAGGGAGAAGAGCACGAGTTGCAGCAACTTCCAGTGCAAATGGGCAACTTACAACTATAGATGATAGCCTGTCAGCAAGGAACATCGAGGTATCTTAATAAATGTCAATCTATGTATGCGTATAATTGTATTGTTAACTGTGCAGTTCATTGTAACTATTGGTTGCAGCAATTAGCAAATGATGATCTGATTTCCATGTTCTTGTCATTCTAACAGTATTAAACCCATACTGCCCTTCAGGTGTGGATTGAAAGGAAAAAGCAGTTTATGTGCCTATAATGTTGCTATTAAATGGCATTGAGAGGATATGCTTTTGAAAAATATCCAGCAATTTTGGCTTTATTTACTAATGTTTTCAACTTTGTTTTCCCACTACAACACTACTCATCAATTTTTTTCTCTATAGAAAACATCGCATCCAACACCAATTTATATCACATCAAACATGTATGTTTTTTCAACATTTTACTATTCCCAAACTAATCCAAAACACCGAAGCACTTCCAAAACTTATCTAAACACACCTTTCATAGTTTTATTTTTTTAACTTATATATATTAATGAGATGTCTCCAAATAGATAATAGGTGTTGCGTTAGGATACAAAAGACAAATTTTGAGCTAATAAAAAATTATTTACTTTAATGGTAACTGTTGATTCTTGTTTCTTGTTTGGACCGGACAAGGATAAGGTTCTAGGGGATCGCTTGTGTAGGACAATGAAGTTAGTGGATGACAGGATTATATTTATGATTCTTGGTTTTTGTTCCTCTGCACACCTCTGCACTCTTGATTGATTTTTATCTAGCTCAGAATACAAGTATTGACTGATTTTTCTTATTTATTTATATTTTGATTTTGTTCTAGCAATGCTATGTCCATTTTTGAGCATCTGAGGTTGTGCCTATTTGTTCTGAAGAAGTGTATGTAGTAACTGTCTGATCCTTTCTAGTTGTCTTCCCATCTTCCAATGTCACCCTACTAAGTTTAACTCATTTAGTTTCAATTTTCAAATTACTGGACCTTTAGGGTGTCTTTGTGTTTTTCACATCCTCGTGTTACAGTAAATTATCTTCCCCTCCCCCCTAAAAAATTATCTCTTTTTTCTTTTTATTTAATGTATTACATCCAAGATTTAATTTTTCTATTGACAACACCACATCAGATGCTTATTTATATTGCCTCAAACAATTATTTCAATTCAATCCATACCATTTCCAAAACACTACAAAACACATTCTTAATTTTTTCAATCAGTTACTTTTGTCCACAGCACTTGTCAGTTGTCAATAGGTGCATCACACTGCTGACACTGACCTGTCTGAACTCTTATAAATTGATCCCTTAACTGTACTTTGCAGTCTAATTTGTGTGAGAAACTGCGTTCCTATGTTTATTGAGCTTTCCTAAAATTGCAATGATTCTACTGTTGAAAATCAGTTCTCGGAATGAGAATTATTAGGACCTGCTAATGTTTATTTTCAACCTTGCATATATATTTGATTATGCTATTGTGGCTTAGATGAATGCAGTCCTTGGACGGATGGCTGCTACTTCTCAAGATTTGGCACATTATCATTCAGGGGATGGTTTGTATCTTCCTTCTTCTAGGGTGTCTATGTTATAATGGAATAGTACAAATGCTATTTGGTGATAGTATTTCTATTCCTGATAATATTTATATTGAGCCAAATGATATAATTTAGGAAAAGTTTACAGCTTGTGAATAATCTTTAAAACTGGTTTGCTGGAGAATATAGCTGTTACATTGGTATACTCTGTTAATTTTGGGTTATCTTTGGTATGGAAAGCATATGTATTACAGAAAATTCTCTTATGCTCTTTTAAAGTAAAATAATGATACAGTAGATATTAATCACATACTTTAAACTGACTAATAAACAGTGTGTCTGCTATGCTGCAATTACTATAAGGGTCTCCAGATAGAAAGAAAAGTTGCTTCTAATCCAGTATGTACTATTATCTAGCAATTCCCTTTTATCATTCCCTGCAGAAGATGGAATCTACTTGGCTTATGCTGATTTTCATTCATATTTGCTTGCGGATGCTGCCTGTATGAAGGAGCTAAATCAGTGGTTTAGTAAACAGCTTGACACGGTACAGAAAGTTCCATTGTTATTATTATGTTTATATCTCTGCTGGACAGAATCACTCAGCATATATTTTATCCTTGTATGATAGCTATTGTAGCATATATCTAAATGAAGCTTTAAGTGTGGCAATCAACAGTTTTTTATCCAAATATAAGTTGAATTTAGGTAGCTCTATCTTTCACTATAATGAGAAACCACCACTATGAATGACCATACAAACACAATATTGTTTGGATATTGATCACAAGATCTTGTAGGCATGTAGCTTATCTGGATGGTCTTCACGAACATCAACTTGGTCAATGTGAGCTTATGCATGCACTTCCAATTTTTCATGTGGCGTCCTTTTATTGCTAAGTGGGTGAATTCAAATGAAAATGTTAGGGTTTGTTTGGTTGTGGTTTTAAATTAATTTGAAATGACTGTTGATTTGAATTTTTGTTTAAATAGTATTTTGATATGATATTTTGTAAAAGAAAATAGTGTATATTTATTGAAAACCATACAGGTTGAATAGTTGTGTTTTTTATTTGAAATAAAAAACAAACACACCCTTAATTTTGCAAATCATTACTTGCTACTTTTTAGTTGTTTGTTTTGTGCACTTGCATAAATTCTTTTATACGTTCCAGTATGACTATGGTAGGGGGAGGTGGGATTTAACATATCATTTGGTTTTTGTAAAAAATTGTTACATGTGTAGAGGAGTTTAAGCTTACAAACTTATATCTGTTTCTTTTAATGATATGGTGCTGTTAGGATCCTTACAGATTGGTGGCTGAGGAGGGAAAATCTAAATGCTCATGGGTGAGTCTCAATGAGATCTCAAATGTCTTAGTGCGAGGTACATCTCTCTCTCTCTCGCTCACTCCCTTCCCTCTCTTGCAGTTTTCTACTTTCCCTTATGAGTTTCTGTTGCGACTGAATTTTGATCATGTTAAGCAGACACATCTGCAAGCCTAATGAAAATCCAAAATAAATATATGTAAAATATATCAATTAATGGGTTTCAAAGTATCCCAATCACTATCAACTGCTTTCAACATATCCGTAAGTTGAAATTGATTGATAATTGATTATGGAATGCTCAGACATAACTGAGAACTCAATTATAATATGTTTTTATGTGTGTCTCCTTATTTCATTCATTTGATTGATACCAGATTCTGAAAACACACAGCACCAACGGCTTTCAGAACTGCAGAGGCTTCGATCCATGTATCTCTTCCAATCTTTTATTTTCTTTTTCCTCTTCGTTCTTTCTTGAAATGAGCTCTGTAGTTTAATGTTTATCTTGTGCCTGTCAATGCGTAAGTTTATGGCCACAGTAATTTTTTTCATGAGTAGGTTACATTAAACTCCTAGGGTGGCATTTTGATTGCTTTATGACCCCTCTCAATTTTATAGCCTTATACATTCTGAAGTATTTTCAAATGTCTTTTCACGGGGTGACTTGCTCTGGTTGCATTGGAATGATATATTTTAAATTTTCTCCTAACTACTTTTTCGCATGCCAGATTTGGGACAAGTGAAAGGCAATGGGTAGAAGCTCAAGTTGAGAATGCCAAGCAGCAAGCCCTCCTTATGACACTTAAAGCTCAAGTGACATCAGATGAAGCCCACATCCGTCTTGACCTTCATTCTCTTCGGTAGTACTCTATTTTCACTGAGCTCATATTTCTTTTCTTGTTTGTGTGGATTCATTCTATCCCTTCTTTTATTATGTCCTCTTTGTTGAAATAGAGTCTTTTTGTACTAAAATTAAAACTGGAACCAATACTTCATTAGTTCACATGCCTAGTCTTGTTTTGACTTGTTCACCAGTGAATTCCTGTTGTAGTGTTCGAAGCTTTTTAATCACTGTTTATATCCGAGCAGGAGAAAGCATGCCGAGCTGGCTGGCGAACTTTCAACTTTATACCGGAAAGAAGAGAAATTGTTATCTCAGGTTTGATAATGCAACCACTAGCAGTTTTACGTGACATGTATAATGTTTAATTTAAAGTCCTGTTCTGCGCTGTGACATGATTAGTGTTGCTATATTAACTTTCTTGTTGTATCTGTACTTACATCTTTGGTCCTTAAAATTTCAGTTATGATTATTTCACAAGTAAATTTTCACTGATACCAAGGTGATCTATCCTTGAAGTGGGGAGATAGAGTTATGCTCTTTTTGGTATAAAAAATCAACAAGATTAACTTACGCTATCCTCCCTAATGAGATATTTTTAAATAAATAAAATACTTAAATGAGAAAATCATTGCATGTATTCCTTTCAGTTCTGAAGTATCTGACTTTTGTACCCAAGGTTTCGTTCTGGGTCTCTTCCTCAAAAGACCCCCATGAAAAAATGGTAATGAAAATTGGCTTGGATTCCTTCTGAATGGCTTAAATCTGAGCCACTGCTACTAGGTCTTAAATTAGAAGCCTTTATCCTTGAAAGTGACCCTATAATGTGACGCATAGCAAGTCAACTGTATGAATTGAGGCTTGCTGTTAAGTAGCACTTTGTATTACTTTATCTAAATTAGAAGTATTGATTAAAGATTCTGGTAACCTAAAAAGGTGGTGCAGTGTGTGTAATTAAGTTGGGATATTTCATCTGACTATTTTGATACTGTTTTTATTAACTTCTTAAAATGTGGTTATAGCTAGTCAATCTTGATTTTTGAGATGCCTAGAGTTGATGCTCCAGCATTTTTATGGTGTGTTTGGCAAGGGAAGTACTGAAACAGGAATGCAGCATCCACATGTCATACAGAATGGGAAGCATTATCCTCATTGAAAAAATATGAAACTGTGATTTAGATTGGTCGGTGTATTGTGGATAGTTTGGAGCCCTTTTGACCTTTTCTGTGTTTGTTTGTTCACTACTGTCTCCAATTATTACTTTTATACTCATTTGCAACTTCTCTTCAGACTATTCCGGATCTTTGTTGGGAGCTGGCGCAGCTCCAGGACACATACATTTTGCAAGGTATAAATCGTTAAATAAGTTGCATTGATAGTTGTAAAATTTTAGTCGCACTTCTGAGCTTTCCCAATTCACTCATTTGCTATCTCTGTTAATGATTATGTATATTTCCTGTTGTAAATGTAGGGGACTATGATTTGAAAGTCATGCGTCAAGAATTTTATATTAATCGGCAAAAAGCGGTATGTTGCGAAGCTGATGACATCTTTTTATGTTGCATTTTCCAAATGACGAATCTTTCTTTTTCTAGTTACCTTGATAATATAGGTTCAGTTCTATTCTAAATGATGAGTCGTAGAGATATTGTGTTTGACCCAATGCCTGTTCTTTTAGGAACTGCAGTAATTTTGTGATATGTTTAAGGTCATTATGTTGTGATTGTTTTTGGTGATTAAAAAACAAGTCCTCCGCTCAGCATTTTTTCCCATCAATCAATGAACAAATGGGTGTCTAGCTCATTTGCATTACTTTCCCTGACCTGGAGATTTTTTAAATTAAAATTGGAAGCACCTCCTTGTAATGTTGGATAGAATAGACCTATAAATTTTGTATTGTGTAAATTTGAATCCAGAGTAAAGCAAATTACAGCTATTTTAAAATTTCTCGGAGAAAAGACAATGTTTTTCATTATCTACAGTCACTTTCATATTAGAAAGTGGTTAGGAAGACCTAAAAAGAAATGAAAAATTTTAATGTTAGAAGGGGCTTTATATTTTACATTGAGGAGGGAATATATTCTTATCTAGAAAAATGGCGAAATGTGATCCATATGGTTGATCCCACATAAGGGGATGAAGGTTTTTTATTATTATTATTATTATTTTTTCATACCCACACACTCAAGCACCCGACGGTAATTTCCCCCCAACTCAAGCACACATGCACCCATTCGGGATCGAACTTGGGATCTAGCCTTCAAGTGTGGGATGTTTGTACCCTCGATCTACGAGGGTTTAACCATATTGGGATGAAGGTTTACAATGACGTGTGATGTACTTACTAAACCTGTGGTGTCGTCAAATTCTGAAGTCTAAAAATTAACCACTTTTAGGGAGTCAGATGTCACAAGTCTCAATATCGTATCTTGCTAATCTGTATAACGGTATTTCCTTGTGCAGTTCATAAACCATCTAATCAATCAGCTATCACGGCATCAGTTTTTGAAATTAGCCTGTCAGTTGGAAAAGAAAACTATGCTTGGAGCATACTCCTTGCTTAAAGTCATCGAACTAGAGCTGCAGGGGTATCTGTCTGCTGGCAAAGGCCGGGTGGTATGTACACACTTTATAACTGTATTTTAGTTTTCATTTCTAATAATCCCCGATGGTTCATGTGACGTTGGGGGAGGCCAATTTGATTTGTTGTACTGCAACTCATATGATGTTTAACATGCTCTATATATCCTACAAGGGCCGGTGCATGTCATTGGTCGAAGCAGCATCTGATGCACCCGAACAGGGTGCAGTGGATGATCGTGACACTTTTCTTCACGGCGTTAGAGATCTTCTCAGTATTTATTCAAGTAAAACATCATAATGATCAGTTTAGTTTCCTTGAAAGAAATGAGTGACGCTACATGACATGACTACTGACTGAAAATTTTTGCTGTGTCGACAGATGCTCAAGCTAGTTTATCTACGTATGTATCTGTCCCGGGGATCATACAACACCTCTCAAACCTTCATTCTGATCTGATGGCCTTGCAATCTGATCTAGAATATGCCCTCCCCGAGGACAGAAACCGATGCATTAATGAACTGTAAGCTACTTGTGTTGTGCCCCATCCTAACAACACTTTATATGATCCTATCGTTCATATAAGTAAATATATATATATATGCCGATGCAATTCAGGTGTACTCTTGTTCAAAGCTTGCAACAATTATTATTCGCCTCATCAACAACGGCACAACCCATACTGACACCCTGGGTAACGATTGACTCCATTAGAAAATTCTTTCTCCATCTTCCTTCTTTTCTATCTCATGCAGAATGTGTCTCTTGGGTTTCAGAATCTGATGAAGGAGCTGGACGAAATGGAGAAGATCAACGCGAAGCTCTCAGCTGCAGTTGAAGAAGTGACTCTGGAACACTGCAAGAAGAACGAGGTATACGTCTCGTTTATTCTCATCTCATGTCATTTTGTGCTTGAAACTGAATCGAATTTCTCATCTTGGTGTTGGTGATCTATATGGTATTGGTGTTTGGTGCAGATTGTGAAACATCATTCGCAGGAAACCATACTTCAAAGACGAGTGTTTGTTGAGTTTTTCTGCAACCCGGATCGACTGCGGAACCAAGTCAAGGAGCTCACTGCCCGTGTTCGGGCATTGCAAGCCTCCTAGCCTCACTCACTCTACTCTACGGACACACTAACTAATGTATGCCTATGTATGTATCTTCTATGGTATGTATCTAATGCTCTCTCTCTCTCTCTCTCTCTCTCTATTTCATTGTTCAATCAAAGCATGCATTCTTTGTCTCTCGTTCATGTTTCTAAATTAAACTGACTTTTCCAGGAAATGATTTTCAAGGATTGCCATATTTGCTGGTTTGTTAAATCTGTAACTTTGTGGATGCCTGCCTGCCTCTGTTTGTTTAGATTCATTTTAGGTTTGCCGTAGGTAGGGTGTTGTATTTTATGACTATATCTTTTGCTTTTTATATATTCTTTTATGTGAAATAGCACTGTGTTTACTTGTAAGGTTTTTGTTTTGAGTCTTGATTTTTTAATAGTAAAATTATTTGATTTGATTCTTTTTAGGAAAAAGAAAGTTAAAATAGTAAAAGTAGGAATAAAATCTTACAAGTAAACAGAGTTTTTGTTTGGTCTGGTGGATTATTTTTTAATGGAAAAATAAGTAGTTTATAAAATGTTTTTGAGAAAAAATAACATAGATCTAATAGTAAGAAATAAAAAGAGAAAAAAATTAATTGAGTTGATAAAATAATGTTCTATTTTATTACCTTTGTAATCACGTGTTAGAACTGGGGCTTCTTTGATCTATGCCACAATAATTGGGGCCATCAAACATGGGCTTGTTGGATTTGGGCCGAGACTATTTAGCATAATGGATATGGCAATTGGCATCCACATATTTGGGCTGAGGCAACTGGGTCTGCTGGACATGGGCCGAAAGCATTTGATGCTCATCAGGTATGGGTATGGGTCTACAGAAATTGAATAAAGAAATAAGAATGTAATTTTATTTTATTTTAATATATTGTCAAAAAAAATAAAAATAGGTATGCTTTTTTTTTCCTGTTTAATAAAAACTCATTATTTTTACTATTTTTAATATATTTTTATTTTTTAAGTATAAAAAAATATACATCATATTAAAATCATGTTCAAATCAAATGAGTTTATTTTTATACGAGTAAGGGAGTATTAAATTATTTCCTGTAGAACAATAAGTTTGATTTAATACTTTACATAAAAACTAATACTCCCTTCGTCCCGTAAATATAATCTTAATTGGGTTAGATACGAGATTTAAGGAATATTGATATTATATTGGTAGGTATTGGGTAAAAAGTATGAATAGAAGACTTTTTTGCCCTTGTGAGTGTATTAGTGTAAAAAGTAGTGACAATTGTGTAATAAAAATAAAAAAATAGATGTAGTTTTATGATGATATGGTTATTTATGGAAATAAGACTATTGTTTTAGGACAGACAAAAATAGTAAACAAAACTATTGTATTGGAACGGAGGGAGTATACGATGACATATATTTTCTTTGTCCCAACTACAAATATATTTATTATTTTTGTCTGTCTCATTAAAAAATATCAATCTTTATTATAATAAAAGTAATCATGCAAATACTAAAATACTTTTAATTTTATTTTAAATAACAAGCATACCATACACATATATAATATAAAAGGGTACATATATCAAAAGCTGTGTATTTTCACTCATTAACAAAATATTATTTTTTAATTTATTACAAAAAATTCAAATTAGTACATTAGTTTGAGATAGAGAGAGAATTATATTTGAAATATATATATATATATATATTCAATTATTATCATTAGGATAAATTATATAAGAGTCTTTTGTATTTTAGTTAACATAAATAAATTATTTTATGTTTTATTTAGTACGTGAAATTCTCTTGTGTTAAGTTAAAGTATACACAAAGTATATATTTTATTGTAAATGTGAACCTAATTATGCAAGTTTTATATAAATAATAAATAAAAATATTTTAACTAGCATTTTTTGAAAAATAAATAAATCAATAATTTATTAACCATAACTAGGGTGTGTTTGTCTAGTGAAATTATTTATATGTATATATTTTTTTACGTGAAATATAAAGAATTGCGTAAGTATTATAAAAGTAACGTAACATGTGTAGTATATTATTTTTTAGAAATTTTGAAGTAATACATTTTTTATGAAAAATTATAAATTGAATGATTGAAAAATTATTTAATTATTATATTCAAATAGGGTTATTTAAAGTATGTTTATATATATATATATAATTTGAATAATTAGGTGCACATTTACAATTAAACATCAGTATTTTAATTTAACATAAAGTGATTTTACAAATTAAATAAAACACAAAGTGTTCCATTCATTTAGACTAAAATGCACAGGGTATTATATAATTTATCATTATTATTACTATTATTATTATTACTATGTTAAACTGATTTTTTTGTCTCGTAATTGGACCCCTTTATTATTTTAGTCTCATAACTCGAGATTGTCTTAAAATTGTCCCGTAAGTAAAAATTTTTCGCAATTAATCCTCAAGATCCATGTAACAGCTGCATGACATGCTGACAGACATGTGTCGGCCAGGTCAACACCATGTGGCTGACTCGTCACGTGAATTATTAATTTTAACTATAAATTAATGAATATATATATACATATATATTTAACTATAAATAAATTATGTATATTTTCAATTATCAATTTTAAGTGATATAAGAAAATTATATATTATTAGAGGCCATTCGGGCCGATCCTATCCACTTTGAATCATGTTGGGCCGAAACGGCCCAGTTTATAACCAGGCCTGAAAAGTTAGGCCCGAGCACAATTCGTTCAACTGAAAATCGAATCAACAACCAAATGTAGATAAGACAACAATTTTACCATTAAACTCTACTTTAATTTTTATCATTATTTTATTACTTAATATACATATAAATATATTAATTTTGATAAATCGGATCAGACAAGCACGATCCGAAAAATTTCAAATATATTTTTAGAGGTTCAAACACTACTTTTTCGTGCCAAATTCAGATGAAATTTTAAAATTATGTTTATTTTTGCTAGCTCTATATGTATATTATGTATATTTGGATGTGTTTGGTTTAAGATTTTAAATATTTTTATTATTTATTTATTTAAAGTATATTAAACTAAGTAATTATTATTTATATTATATTAAAAATAAATTTTATATTTAAAATATTATATAATATATATAGAAAGATGGTGTGCGTCTTCATAATTTATATTTTTTTCATAATTTATTTTTATTTATTAATAAAATATTTTTATCTCTCTTATGTTTTTGGTTAGATGTTATTAATAATAACTTTATATATAGATAAAATAAAATAAAATTATTTAATAAAATCAGTTAGAATTATTTTAGTTTATATTATCTAAGCTAAAAAGAGTTTAAAACATTGTCTCTATTTTATATAATTAATTGATTTATTTCATAAACGATTTTGAAAAAAATATGTCAAGATAAAAAATTTTAAAAAAATATATAGGGTTCGTTTGTTTAGTGTTTTGATTTGAAGTATTTTTATGCGAGATATATAAAATAGTACGGTAATATAAAAAATAAATTTTTATGTTAAATATTAACTTTTTTATGAGAGGATAAAACATATATTCACAATTATGTCGAAAAAAAATATTGAACAAACACTCGTAGGATTTGTTCAATTTTGGTTTCAAAATCAATTTTTTTAAAGTATTAATAAACCAAAAATAATAGAGACACACAAAATGTTATTTTTACAAAGCAATGAGACCGACCGAGAGGTATAATTTTTAGTCTAAATTTGAGTAACGTTAAAAGTTGAGACAAATAAATATACTGATCGTTTTTTTAGTGCACCCTTCGTTTCAATATAATTGTATTTACCATTTTTGTTTATCTCAAAACAATAGTTTCATTTATATAAATAACCATATTACTATAAAATTATTCTTATTTTTTTATCATTATTACAAATTACTATTGCTTTTTACACTAATATACTCACAAGTAGGGATGGAAATAGGTCAGACGGCCTGTCAGAGGCTACAGTTTGGCCTGCATAAGGCCTGGTTTGGCCTGGCCTATTTACTAACAATGCTAAATTCAGATATATTTCTAAGCTTTTTAAAATAAATAGAACAGGCTTAGGCTTTACGAAAAGCCTTTTTGGCCTATCAGACCGGTCTGTTTATATATTTATATAGTATATATATTTTTTTTTATCTAATATATATAATTCTTATGTTTTTAATTGTTTATAATTTCTAAACAATTATATTTGGTGACAATAAAAACTAAAAAATTAATTTATTTTAACTGATTTATTATATATAATAAATAATTGTATATTTTTCTACAAATATTAAGTTTAAAAAATAAAAACTAAAAAATAAAAAAATATTATATAGACTCGTAGGCCAGGTCAAGCTTTAAATAGGCCAGGCCTAGGCCTTAGATATATATATTTTAATAGGCCAATAGGCCAGGCTCAGACTTTAGTTTTATAAAATAGGCCTGGCTTATTTAGCCAAAGTCTGGTCTGGCTTGGCCTATTTCCACATTTACTCACAAGAGCAAAAAAAAAGTTTTTTATCCATACTTTTTACCCACTATCAATATAATATCAATATTCCTTAAATTTCGTGTCAAATACAACCCACACTATAGTTCTGGGACTGAGGGAATATCTACTAATAATTTCATATTCAAAAGCATATATATAATCAAATATTACATATAACACAAGCAGGTTATATAAATTGTCCAACAACCAATTCAATTTTTTCAATTATAAGTTGTAAATAGATGCACTAATAGAATTAAATTATGTGTTAATTGATAAATAATTTACGTTAATTTATTAGCTAACTTTAGATTTTAGGACAACTCAATTATTTTAAAAAATATTATGTATCTATTTGCATAAAAATCATCCAAGGAGTATTAAATCTATCTATTTGCATAAAAATCATCCAAGGAGTATTAAATCTAACTAAAATATAGTTCATAAAATATTGTACTCCCTCTGTTCCGGTGCAAGATTGTTATTTACTTTTTGTACGTAGATTTTTGAATATTAGTATTATAATGGATTGTAGCGAAAAAGACGGAAATACCCCTATTAGTATTGTGTAATATAAAAGTAATGACATTTGTGTATATAGTGTAAGTTGGAAGGGTATTTATTATGTTAGGTAGATAGTACAATTACTAAATTAGAAAATAATAACCTTGTTTTTGGACGGACGAAAATAGAAAATAACAATTCTTCAATGAGACGAAGAGAATATATTTTTTTATATAAATATATTAAGCAGTCCCTTTATCCCAGACGAATGTACTATTTTGGATTTTTATTATACATTAAAAAATAATAGTATTTTATTGAATAATATAATTGCCTAAGATGATTTTGATATATTTTTCTTTGTACTTATGTATATTGTATGTTTGCAATATA